CTTTCTGGCCAATTTGATCATTCGTAAAGTCGAAGTGATTTAGTATTTTGCATGGAAAGACAAAATACAACTTTGCATTTACAAATATTTCTATATTAAATCAAGCTTTCAACCAAGCAGAAAAACACAATCCGTCAAACACGGCAAAATTGAAAATGTTGCAGGCTAGGTTTAAATGAGCCTATTTATTTACCGTGCCGGTAAGTGCAATTTACCGTCAACGCCTCCTAGCACAGGCGTAAGCACACATGTAAATAGTGAAATTTTGAAATTAGAAACTTTCGCAGATGTGTTCATACGGCGCTTATCACGAAACCTTCATTGCGACACGTTTGTGCCATTCCATGAAAAGCGGCGCATGGTCCCTGAGTAAAAGTATGCTAAATCCATTTTTAAAGCATTATTATCCATCATTAGAAAATGATATAACACATATTTACGTTTTCTTTCAGAGAAACTGATTCTCATGCGTCATTAAGTATCATTTTTCCGGTGGGTGTTAACTGTAGCCAAATATAATACAAGATCTTTAGTTTCTGGGCGTGAAAATAAATGTTTTATTGTGGACGCTGGGAAATTAACTTCCCCTTCATTGCGAGCATTCTAAATTTTGTTTTATGCAAAACTTTATGTTCACATTTTCTGTGAACTAATATAATCTGCAAAATAAAGATACAATTAAAAACGAAAAACTACATTAGTTCTTTCCTCCCCACACCTTTTCTCTCCTGGGTCAACAAGTTTTTTATTAAATTAAGCACTTGATTCTACTTTGGAACACAAAAAATGTTTCGCTATTAAACTTAATGGAATTATATTAAAAGTAAACATTCATTTTAATCATTTACATTTAGCAAACAAAACAATTTTTTATACAATACGTATAATTGCTGGCTTTTTAGATTGTTAAACCACCATAATTACACCTCTTCGCGATGTATTACAGAGCTAGAAAGGCGTTATCTATTTATCCCCCTGCCTATTTATTATAACTTCTAGTACTAATTTGCGATACTTGTACTATTTACACAAGATAAATCTAATTTCGAAACAACGATAATAATTAATAACCAGGTTTTTGTATCTAATGAGGTTTAATTGAAACCTGTCACATAACACTCTGTATAGCAGAGAATAGAAATTGGTTTTTAGCAATCAGAAAGAGCCCGTTGTACTTTGTGTACCATATTCCATTATCGAGAAGGATGTTAGGTAGAATGATTTCATAATTAAAATTGTTTATGGTTACATACTTGAAGTAAGTTATGCATAATCGGCGAAGTGTTCCGAGCGGATTTTTTTGTTGTCCATGATGCGCTTGATTTATGACTGACAATTATCCGAATGAAACCGAAAACTAGCTTTTCTAGTTTTAAATCTTATAAAGAAATAATAATAGTTTCAAATGAAATGCGGAAATGCGTAAAAAGGATTAATATCTGTAATGGAATGCTTATTGCCAGTTCTTTGGACAATCGTGTATGCTTCTATATGTACGAGATTGACTTATGCCGAAAACTTTGGGAATTTTAAAAACATACTATGGTCGACTTGTTTAGAATCAAGAAAAGAGGCACTGTACTTTATGAAACTTTCTGTTCAGCAGTGTATTAATGAATGTGCTTTGAGAAGCGATTGTGAATTTTTGAGTTACGATATGCGGCTACACCGATGTGGGTTGTATTTTAACGAGGATCTTAGCAATAAAGATGAAAAAGGGGGCACGTGCGCGTTCATTTTTCGAAGGGATCTGGATCTCCAAGAGGTAATAACATCGTTAAGGAAAAAAGGTTTCAAGCGCAAATAATTTTAATTAGTATTTTTTTAATTACTTAAGACAAAAAATAGTGTTATTAACTTAAGACAAAAAAAAAGTATTATTTACTTAGACAATGCAAATTAATTGAGATGTAGAATGAAAATACTCTATTAAATTGAAATAAATAAATAAATAAATAAAAACAACATAACAATTCTATGTTTTTAATCTACTTAATTCCAGTTGTGAAAAAAAAGCCGAATGTATGAATTTTTGTGATTTTTTTAAGAAAATATACTTCTATTAACCGACAAATACTGAATAAGTAATAAGATACTGAATACTACACAATCGAGCCAATCACTTTCAAAAGAAGACCAGATTGATAAACTTGTCCCAAAATGTCAACATCCTTTAATAAAGAAACAATTTTGGTTTTGTACGACGCTGTCAATCTTTTCTTACATGTGACGGACTATTATATTTCCACCACGATTTCTGAATCAGCGGTAAATGGCATTTAAGTCTGATATCAGCTCCTGCTAATTTTGAAATCATCAGGAATTAGAAGTCGGTCACTTGCAGAGAAATTGGCAATTACTGGTTTGCTATTCAGGGAAGTCTGTTAGGCGCACCGACCGCCAAGATATGGTTTAAAAAAAATAAATGTGTCAAATTCGGCATAGAACAATCAATGAAATCATTGTAATTTGACTATATTTATGACTTATATATAATTGTATAAAATAATATTGCTACCTTTTTATTAGATAATAAAGAAAAGTACTTAGATAAGCTATATATGGCTCGACTTGATTTATTCTCCAATCTTATTTAAAGCGCATTTACATTGCGATTTTTCTAGTTCTCCCTATAGTCTTATTGTCTTAGTTTTTAGTCTACACAGAATTTATTTTGGTTTGATTGTGTAGGAAGCTATCTATATGCCTATGGTTTAGCCCCTTTGGGTTTGAACCTATGCGGCAGCGGCGGTCTACTGTAATTCTATTTAAAAATCTTTTATTTTGTAAATTTTAATAGACTTACGTTCAAGACTTATGCTTCACAAGGTGGAGGGCTTTTTAAAGGCACATAATGTCTCAAAAACGAATACATTTTAATAGCTTTAGATAAAAATTTTGTAATGTTTTAATAATGGTTTTAACATGTTCGATGCTTGTAATTTGAAGAAAGTATCGATAAATGTGAAATAATTAATTACAGTACTAACTGCTAAAAAACAAAAGATGAAATGATGGATAAGGAAATTGGCCAATGACTACCTAATATAAATAAAATGCAAAAACAAATAAAAAGCTTTTGAGAATTAAAAAATAAAAGCATTTCTGAGGCATAATGTGCCTCTGAGGAGTTGGGTTTTTTTATGATGCCATTACATTGATATATGTTGATAAAGTGCATGCCTGATAAATTTAGCTTTATCAGTCACCCTCAGCTTTATCAGACACCTCATCAAAACATACTGAAATTTACAAAAAAAGTTAATTGAATATTTTTACCTCTTACTAAAATATTCAAGTGATTAACTTTTTAATTTCAAAATCTATCTTACATTTGACTCTAGATACATTCGGGTCTATTTCTTATTGATATCATATGACCTTGGCATATTACTGCGCAAGGCGTCAAACTCGAAATGTTCTTGACAGGGTTTTGTTTCATTTGAAATTGAAAGAAAGAAATACGTATTAATTATTAAAATAGGATAAATAGAATACTTAAATAGTGTCTGATATTATAAAATTTATCAGGCTCGGCGCGAAAAAACATGAAAGGCTCGGCAAAACCTTGCCCTTATTTTTTTCTTAGCCATGTCCGATAAATTTTGTAATATCAGTATTCTCTATTTATCAAGTTGTTAAAGACCAGTGTGAAGTATTTAAATAGCTTACATCAAGTCCCTACTTCATGTATAATTATAAGCATACATGATCTATCGACTCGTTTAATGTTCATTGTCATAATATTGTTATTAATTTTGTAGCTATTGAGTAGGGACATTGAATAACCTTCCACTCTCGTGTCATCTCGTATTATCTCGTATTAAATGAAACAAATATTCAATTAGCGAAATTCAATGCCTTCAAACGATTTATCCATTTTGAAAGATGATACAGTGCGATAATTATAGAATTAGAATAAATAGTAATTGATGACATATATTTTTTATGCAAAAAATCGATGCTTTTTGTATATTTTTTCTTATGTATATATTTATTAAATATATATATTATCGATTTATTATAGATTACATCAGTATGTTCTTGCAACGATGGGCAAGTGTGTAGTTTGAACAATGGACACTGCCTAATAAAAGGTAGGTTCCTACAGAAATATTATGTTTAAAGGGAATTGTTCTGTAATAGAAGGGTCTGTAAATTGCATTGAATGATTAAGTTGTCAGTATTTAGTATCAGACTTAACAACACACCACGAAAGAACTATGTATAGAAGTTGTTAGCAAGTGTGAGACAAATGATCCGATGTTATATAATTATATTTATTTAGCAGATACATGTAATAAAATGTTCTTGAACAAAATATTATTATTCATCATAAGTATACAAATTCATTCTATGTCACTTAGAACTATATCAACATTTTCTAACAAACAACATTTTATTAGAATTCCCAAATGACACGTTTTTCATTGTTTTTACTGATATTTGAAAAAAATATGGAAATTGTGCCCATTGTTGACCCATCCACTTTAAAGTTGTGCGTGTTCTTGCTTTCTACAATAAATTAATCATGACCTTTTTTGTCAGTATGACGCGACATGCAAACAATCTGTATTTACAAACAAGTTAAAAAGGTTTCCTGAGGGGAAAGTTTTAATAATTTAAAGATATTTTATTAATCTGTTTTCAAAATTGTTTTAAAAAAAACGTTTGCATCGAGAACATAGTTGGTAAGAATCGACCAATAGAAGGTCTTTGGAGACCGGTGACCGTCGGAGACCGGAGATCGTATCATCAAGGCGTTTGAGATTTGTCTTTCAAACGTCTTTGCGCATGTTTTCATTTATTTATTTATTAATGAAAGATAAAGAAGAAAATTAATAAATATTTACAAAAATGAATTATTAACAAAATGGCAAGTTAACGCGGCCTTACCTGAGCTGTACCTAGCTATAGCGTTAATAAGAATAGTTTTATATGACAATTATCGTTCCTCCAGTATGGTTTTAAGTTTTCGCGTGCCGTAAATGCATACGTAAATGACGTCAAGAATAAAGCGTCGCATAACGTAAGGAAACTAAAATGTTATCAAGTAAATAACTTTTCCACTGATATATACGGTAGCTGATTTAAAAAACATGAAAATACGACAAGTGACGACTGTGTCGTGTTTTTTTTTCGCTCCAAGAGGCGCCATGTGAAGACACGAGGATACGACAAATTGGTGACGTTGTCGTATTCTTGTGTTTTCGTCTGGCGCCCCGCGAAGCGCAAATACGACATGGCACAACTCAGCCACCATATCGATTATTTTTCTGCGACCATATTACAATATATTGTAATATAGTGCATGAAATAATTATTTTTTTTTGTCACGGACCCTAACATCGCTTTAGCATTCAGATGCAATGTAAATAAATAAATAGATAAATAAATAAATAAATAGCATTAATGCAAATTTGAATGAAAATTTGAATATTGTTTTAATTAGTCAAAAGCATGTCAAGTGTACAAGTAACCTAGCACATGGCACGTGATATTTACGGAAATGACGGCTTACATGTCAAAATATACATAATCATTATTAGTTAGTATTCCGTTAGTAACGGGGTAGACAGAAATAGTAAATTCTATAATATTTTGCATCACAAGTTCAACGTTCCACCTAGATTTTTACAACATGTCAAAACTCCTTAAACAATTAAAATAGTTTTTAAATTTGATTTTTTTGTCTATAGATTTTCATTAGGCATCAGAAGTCGCGCGCTTTAATGAATTGTAAGCCAATTAAATTTAAATTCTAATGCCAGCAACTTATAAAGAATTCTGGAAAGAGATCCGTTAAAAACATAAATGACGGAAATGGGAATTTGCGGTCTGCGGACATCGCTTGAACAATCCTGACGTACAACTCAAATGATAATCGATTCTTTGTTAACATGCAAATTTATGACGTCATTTAGTTTTGTTAAGAACAAATAATTCTTCTCTAAACATTTCTGTATATTTTTGTGTCATAATAAATGAACCATTTTTTGTATGTGTTATGCCAATGCGTTGAAAATGCCTTAAGTAAATATACTAAAATGTACTTTTCTAAATCAGAGTTTCAAAACAAAAATACCATTTAAGTGCACTCATTGTTTTTCTTTCTTTCATTATTACAGAGTGCCAGCCATTTTATTTTGATAATGGATTTGTCTACGGAAACGTACGACAGGTTCATGCAAAGAGACGGATCAAATGCCACGATGGATATAGAGAAATTAACGGAGTTCAAGAGGTCACGTGCAACAATGACGGAAACTGGAGTTACCTCCCGTCTTGTGTTCTACAATCAAGTTCAACGGCAACAACTACACCAGGTCCGACGACAGACAAAACAACGACAGGTGTAGAAACAACATATTCCATAACAACAACAACAACGGTTGGAGTAACAATATCTACCGCCGCAACAACAGCAACAACAGGTGCACAAACACCACCGTCTTCGACAACAACAACCCCATCACAAACAACAGTATCTTCCGCAACAACAATGGCTGTAACAACAACAACAACAACAGTAGGTGCACCAACAACACCATCGCCTACTACAACAACAATTACAACAACAACTCCATCACCAACAACTCTATCTTCTGCAACAACAATGGCTGAAACAACAACAACAACACTAGCTACAACAACAACAAATGCTGCGACTGAAACAGGTAATTAAATGCTTCATTACGTTCTTATAAGATGAGTGCCATATATTCGGAAAATATACAAATTAACAAAAATATGCGTGGTACACTTTTTTTCTGAAACCTTCGATAATGTCCCCGGATGGCACAAGAACAACATTTTTAACTCTCCATTTCTGAACTCGACACTGTGAGGCAATAAAACCCGCCCGTACCGTACTTCTACAATATTATGTTAGTTTTTTTTTTCATTTATTTATTCTTTTTATATTTTTTTATACATATTTTTGACATCTTAAAAATGGTATTCTCAGACATATATTTTTCCAGTAGGGTCGGGTGACACTAACAAATCAATTTGTTTTTAGGCCTCACCTGATCATTCGTTTGTTTTCTACTTTGAAATTGTTGAAAGGCTTTGTTGAGGTTTTGTTAGAGCCATTTAAAGTATTTATAAGTTATTACACGCATGATAAGCAGGTGGCATGATGAATGTTATCTAGCACTCGCTCATTCAGACTTTTGACCAAAAGGTTTCCGAATATATGCATACATTTGAAATGAGTTCAGACATAACTTAATCAGTTTAAAGGAGTCACACTCAGGTAAGACTATATTTAGGGAAACAATAAAACATAGCATTGACAAAGCAAATGTGTGACTGAGTGTAAGAACGTAACCAAGCAGTTTGAGGAAAGCTTGACTCAGCAATTTGCGGAAAGCTTAACCCAACAGTGTGCAGAAAGCTTGACCCATCAAGTTGCGGTAAGCTGCGAAAGCTTGTCCCAGCAATTTGCAGAAAGCTTAACCCAACAGTGTACAGAAAGTTTGACCTATCAATTTGCGGTATAAAGCTGCGAAAGCTTGACCCAGCAATTTGCGGAAAGCTTGACCCAGCAATTTGCGGAAAGCTTGACCCAGCAATTTGCGGAGGCAGAACCAAGTTGTGTAAGGAAACATTAATCAGACATTTTAAGGAAAGTGAAACCCAGTAGTAGGAAGCTTTACCTAGTAGGATGAGGTAAACTTCGCGATCTAATACAGCTTATTTCCTTTGCTTTGTCTCGCCATTCTTTTTTGGTACTGGGTCGGACTTATAAATGACCTGCACATTGACGTTAGAAATTTTGAATGCTAAAAACGTATGAAGTATAAATCAATATTAATATTTCATCAATATTTTAGCACTTCCTTGTATTTCTCTATCATAAAATCCCGGATGTTCTTTATCATTACAGTTTGCCCATCAAACTTCAGTCAGTGGATCACGCCAAGTGCAGATAACACGTCGTTTCAGGTCTTGTTTGTTGTACAGACTGCAAAACAACCTGAATCAGAAACTGGATGTGCAGGACACAGTTCAAGTCTTGTTAAAATCGACGAACTTTGGAAGCAAAATGCCTTAAGAGCCTCGCTAGGAAACTGTGAAGGTAGGGTGTTTAACCCTATATATACGTTATACCACAATATTACCGCAATATGAAAAAAAAACATGCTGATAATAACTAGGCACTTTACTAAAAATACATTTATTAGCATTTTGGATATTAGCATAACCCGCGACACTTTACTTAAAATCTACGATTTAGCTTTCATTAGTTCATTTACCACTTTTATTAAGCTACAAGTTTAAATGCCATTTCTTCATTTTTTTGACGATGTTTATTTTAAAGGCACACTATACCTAAAAAACAAATTATAATGCTTACTTATTTTGAAAGGGCAAAGTTGTATTTTATGATATTCAAATAAATGTTATATGCATGTTATCTGAAGAAAGTAGCGATACATGTGGAATAATTTATCATAAAGGCAGCAAAAGGTAATCAAAGTAGTATTTTGACTTCCATACACAGTACCTATTCACTATAACTGTACAAACAATGCAACGTATGATTAAGCTGGTTTAGGTTTTTTCCAATGATCAACTTTAAATTAAAAAAAAATAAAATTACATTAAAATTAAAAAGTTTTGAAAAAAAGCATTTCTTATATTAGGCATATCACCGTAGGGAACGTGTTACAGTATCGCGTTTTCCGGTTACAGTATAGAATTTTCAAGATGAAGGATTATTTGTGGGGAAGAGAGGTATCCGGTACATACTACAAGTACAACTGGATCCGGTATCTAGTCATATATGTCTTTAGCGTGATACTGTATCACGTTCCCTATGGTGATTATAGGCCTTTAACTAAAAAGGATTAAATCCAAAGAAAGGAAAATAAGCCGAAGATTGTAACAGCCAATAGTATTGTTGACAGATGTGTATACATTCAAGAAGCGTTTAGGAATTCGGAAAACATGGATTTTTGTTAATGCTGTCTTACGAACGCTGGCTTTTTTACTTACTTTTCTGACTGATGACTATACATATTGCCTCTATATACATATTGCAATACAGTTATTTTTACAGTTATTTTGCGTAGGCTACTTAAATATGCCCAAATGTCTACAGGAGCAGTTTTGCATGCGGAAGCGTAATTATCAGACTGTCATAAATATAACCAAAATCCACCATTGATTATATATTTTCACCTTGCATATACATCATATATTTGTTTAATCTGTATACATGTTTATATCTACAGTATTCACAGGATATTCTTCAAGTTGCTACTGGATCGATGGATACTTCCTTGACGCAACTTGGAAATTTGAAGACTTAAGTCTAATGCCGACGTCAGGTGAATTCTGGGATGTTGGACAGCCGAGCAGTTCTAATGGTCAAAATTGTGTATCTATAAATAGTAACCAATTGTGGGAGACTAAGAACTGTAATAACAAATGTGGCTATATATGTGAAAAGACCGTTACGTAAAGAAATTTTTGTGCCTGGATTTTATTTTATAAAAAGTACACACTACCAACTTCTAAGTTAATGTGTAGACTGGTATAGCACCTACTAGTATACTGTGCTTTTCTTACTTCACGATACCTTATGCTTTTGAACAAGAAAGAAAACAATTTATGAAACTTACAGTACAAACATCAAACATTGTCATAAGCTGTAACATATAGGTATTTTCTGCTGTATGACACAAGGAAACAACAATATATGCAGTCAAAATCATCAAAATTGGTCAGACGTAGACCATATGTCGGCCATTTTGAACATTTAAATCGCGGTAAATGGTGTTACACTATAGTTTGTATGCCCCCGCCATGTAATGGCCGGGGCATATAGTGTTACCCTGTTCCGTCACACCGTCCTTCCGTCATTCTGTCATTCCGTCATCATCAGTTCCCGTTCATTATCTTAGTAACGGTTGCACACATTCAACTCAAATTTGAAATATGGATATGTCATGAGAAAATACAGGTCAAGTTCGAATTTGGTCATGGTTCGATGATTTGTGGCAGAGTTATGCCCCTTTTACTTTGAAAATAATATGAAATTTTCAGTTTCCGTTCAGTATCTCCCCAACGGTACAACACATTCAACTCAAATTTGACATATGGATATATCATGAGTAAATTCAGGTCAAGTTTGAATTTAGTCATGGTTCGATGATTTTTGGCAAAGTTATGCCCCTTTCACTTTAAAATAATATGAAATTTTCAGTTTCCGTTCATTATCTCCCCAACGGTTCAACACATTCAACTCAAACTTGACATATGGGTATGTCATGAGAAAATACAGGTCAAGATCGAATTTGGTCATGGTTCGATGATTTTTGGCAGAGTTATGCTCCTTTTACTTTGAAAATAATATGAAATTTTCAGTTTCCGTTCATTATCTCCCCAACGGTACAACGCATTCAACTCAAACTTAACATATGGATACGTCAAATGAATGCGCAGGTCAAGATCAAATTTGGTCATGGTTCAATGATTTTTGGCAGAGTTATGCCCCTTTCACTTTGAAAATAATATGAAATTTTCAGTTTCTGTTTATTATCTCCCAAACGGTACAACACATTCAACTCAAATTTGACATATGGATATGTGTTTGGAATGCCCAGGCCAAGTTGGAATTTGGTCATGGTTCGATGATTTTTTGGCAGAGTTATAACCCTTTCACTTTAAAAATAATATAGATACATCTTAGAAATAAGCAGTTTAAGTTTGAGTTTTCTGTTTCAGCACTCATACTTTTGTGGAAATGTATGTAGCCATTATTTTGGCTACAAATATGCAATATGCTATTTTCAAAAGGTTAAGACTGAATAATTTCAGTGCCTTGAACATTGTATGAAAATGGTATGTGTTAACATTGAAAAGTTTTAAGGGCTTTGAACTTAAAATGAAAAAATAATTTGTGTAAACAAATTTGGAACTAAATATTATAACATCTGAAATTTTGGCTGCATGCGGGGGCATCCGTGGCATGATGACACATTTCTAGTTTTTTCATGTTTCAGTTACAATTTCTAATGTTAAATTGCTCAGTTTTAAAGATTAAAACTATCTTTACTTTGTTACTCAAAACTTGTTTTTCAACAAGCAAGAACAATTAGAAAATGATGATTGTTTTAGACGTATGCACAAATTTATTGGACTCTAACATGGTTGCTTTTTGCATACATTTGTAAAATGTTGTTCTGTTTTACGTAAAAACCTAGAGATTTAAAATATTTTGCACAAAATCTTTGTTGTTTAGGTGAATGAATAAGATATGTCATCTCTGACCAATGGTCACATGAAAATACGACATTACCGTGAAATAAGTGATGACGCAGAATTAGTGATGTTGAGTATATAATATTTTAGACTTAATTTTGAATTGCTTTTCTGGTCATTATACATATGATGTTATTAATTTATTTTTAAGTGCCACAAACTACGACATAACGACACATATTTAAACAAAAGTGTTTAAACGTTTTCCTATAAACGATCCCGGATTCCGTGTGTCAGAGATTCCCACATTGTCCTCTGCCATCACGTGGTACTAGAAATTACCCCGTAGTAACATAAAGGAGGTATATCCCGATAGCAGAAAAGTATACTATCTTTTTCGAAGCAGAAATTTAAAATTGACAATGAATAAAATGAATTATAATTTATTTAAATTGAAATTTAATTATCATTTGAATGTTTTTTTTCCAGGGCTCGTTTTTGACGCACTATTTTCTACAAAAACGCAATATAATTTAGTTTTCGTAATTTGTGAGGCAAAAATTTAACTGTAGCCATTTTACTCAATTCTACGGTGGCCGGTTTGCCCGTTTCAAACCCGCGAGAAATTTTATCGTTTTATAATTAAATGTCGCGGGCATCTTACAAACCCGCGTGAATCTCTCCTGAAATCGTACAAAATGTCGCGGGGAACATATAAACCTAGATATTTTATAACCTTTTGATTCTAGTGGCCGGTAGCGTCCATGGTTTGACTATATATTTTGACCCTCGATATCGCGGCGAGTAATAGCAATTTGCAGTCCAGAAATATTTTCTGGCATAAACAGTCGAGGCGTTATGCTAAAACTTGACTTTTTACAACGTATGCATCCAAACAAAATATCGCGGATTATAATGGAAGCAATCGGCTACCTAAAGTAGGCATATAATTATGTGGCTTAGTCTACTATGTACACAGAATATGTCCCAGACGAAATTGTTTATTGCTGTCGTCATATTCCGCGACGATCCGCGAAGATGAAAGCCTTAGGATGTTTACTTGGAAATGTCTTCTGCTTTAAAGCAGTGGAGACAAACAACTTTCTTTAGGGAAAATATACAACAAAAACGGTATTGTCACAAACATTTCACGGGAAGAAGTATCAAATAGCTCAAATTTACACTGACCGTAAAGAAGAATCCAAAACAAAAGTTTGAATCTGGTCGTGAATTTCGTCAAGAATTGCTGCGTTCTGTGAACGTCGCCTTGACTTGTTGATGCTTGTTCTGATTATTTTTAACAATAACTAATAAAATGTAAACTGTTGTTCGTTATAATTTTTTAAAGGAGTGACCCTTTAGAGTTTCAAATGACCCGGAAAACATATTGCCGAGGGTAAAACAATGACCCTCAAAAATCAGACCTGGAGAAAAAAAAATGAAAATTCTGTAAAGGTATGTTTGACAGGGAACATTGTATAGTAGTTTATTCAAATTTCAGCTCAAAGGCTCAAAATTGGCCCACTTCCGGGGCTCATCTTTTTCCTTATAGTTTAAGTGTATTGTAAATTTTGAAGAAAAAAAATCTCTGAGTCTGGAAATGCAAGATCTTAGATATTCAACATTATCTAATAGACAACGACCAAGACTGTTTAAAGCCTTTAGGTCAAAATTGACCCACCCCGGGTCCTTGGTTTTTCCTTATATGTATATTTAAAAGGGCTAGTTAAATCTTTTACATTAAATCTACAAATGCAAGAGCTTAGATAAATACCATAAAGCATTGTCTAGTTGGTTTTTATCAAGTTTGCTCAAATTGCAGCCCTTGAGTCAAAATTGGGCCTGCCCTTAGGGTCATGGGTTTTTCGTTTTTGTATATAATAATAATTTTTGAATACTTCAGTGACTTCAAAAGCAACCATTTACTTTCCATATCAACCACTGGTTTACACAGCAACCATTGACTTTACAAAACTTCCAGTGGATTACCAAAGCAACTAGTGACCTCCAAAGTAACAATTGAATTAACATAGTAATCAGTGGTTTTCCACAGCAATCATGAGCTTCCATAGCAATCAATCTCTTTCCATAGCAACCAGTTATTTTCGACAGCAACCAGCGGCTTACCATAGAAACGAGTGACTTAAAAAAATCACTGACTTTCAATAGCAACCAGTGACTTCCCTTACAGCAACCATTGGCTTCCATAGCAACCATGGACTTCCACAGCAAACATTTTTGTCTATTTATAGCAAGCAGTGACTTCCATAGCAACCATCAACTTTCGATAGCAACCAGTGACTTTCATAACAACTATTGACTTTCAATTGCAACCAGTTACTTCCATATTAACCATCGACTTTCGAAAGAAACAGGTGACTTCCATAGCAACTATACACTTCCAATAGCAACCAGTTATTTCTATTGCAAGCAACATTTAACTTTCTATAGCAACCAGTGACTTCCATAGCAAACATTGATTTTCCATATCAACCGTATGTACACTTTTTCTGATGCAGAATAGAACTGTGATATTAATTGTCCTTGATTTTGAACTAATATCTACATGTACATGTTATTCATAATTATCAATATTTATTAGTCCTTGTCGTGTAGAGGCTTCATAGACTTTCAAAAGAGCCCAACCTTTCCCTTCTTTTTTCACTTAAGTACTACATTTTCCCTACTCCCCCCCCCCTCACAAAAAATCCTAAAATCCTTGCTTTATAGGATGCCATGGTGTCAAAATATGAAACAGGAATTATGTCTTTTTGGTGTTCATAGTTAACACCATGTTGTTAAACAACATAAGTTGTTGTTTTAAAGGCTCTGCAAAACAATATGGTAAGGTGTTCTTTAGGGTTCAAAATGGTAAATTGTTGGGATTCGTTGTTTCGTTTTAATGTCGTGTTTGATGAATATAAATCCTTAAAGCTACATGCATCCCGATTGTCAAAATTTCAAAAAAAACTTAAAAAAATAACTTTGACTTTTTGGGAATGAAAAAAATTTAAGATTCAAGTAAAATTATATGGCTAAGACGATTTTTTTTAATGACATTTTTTTTCCCGTTCTAACGATTTAAGGGTTTTTTGCACAATTTTTACCTATTTTTTAAAATTTTAAACTTTAGTTTTTAAGTGAAATTTTGTTTATGTGAAAATTGCCCCTTTTTGGGGTCACTAAATATTTTTAAATTACACATTTTTTATTTTTTAAAAATTTTAAAAGCAAAATCGGGATTTTTTGGCGCTTAAATTTGACATTTTTGATTTTTTTCCCAAGTGAAATTTTGGGGGATTTTGGGACGGTTTTTTTAAATTAGTTTTTTTTAAATTTTTTTTTTTTTATGTTTTTTCGGGGGTTAAATTTTTTTTTGATTTTTTTTTCCAAAAAAATTTATTTTTAAAATTTCCCAAAAGTGAAAAAAATCAAAAAATTAATTTCACATTTTTTCAATACGAAACATTTTTAAAAAGTTTTCCCCAATTGGATCCTAAATTTTATTGCGACTTCGCAAGTAGGCTGTGTAAAAAAAAAGGGCAAAGCAAAATTTGAAAAATTAATTTTTAATGCCCAAAATAATAAAGAAAGAAAACCCTTAAACTTCTTTCTTTAAAATTCTTAAATTTTTTGGGGTTTAAAAATTTTTTTTTTTTTCCCCCCTCTAAATTTTTTTTTGGGTTTCATTTTTACAGTCTGAATAAATTAATTCCTTCCCTTTCCAAACTCCCCTTTTATGAGACATTGGGCATTTTTAAAGTACCCTTTTATCACAAAAAAATGCCTTAGTTTTTAATAAAATAAATTTTTAAAGAAAATTGAAGCCTTTCTATTTCCGGAAAAAATTAAAGTAAAAAAATTCTTTTCATCCTTTCCTAACAAGTTTTCCAATTTTTTTCCATTTTTAAGCTCCTTTAAAATGTTTTAAACATCGGGTTAAACCATTTTAAATTTTTTCTGTTTAAAAATCCCAAAAATAATTTTTCTTTCTTTTAAAAAGGTGCATACTAACAAATTCCAAATTATATCCCTCTGAATTTTTACATAAAATTTTTTTTTCCCCCAAAAAAATCAGCATTTTAAAAAAGGGTTTTGCCGCAACATTTTTAAAAAGCCGGGGTCTAATAAAAATTTTGGCAGTAAGAAACAAAAATATGAGGTTTGGTTTTGGAAACTTTTTTTTCCTAAAAAGAATTGTTTGTTTTTTTTAAATTAAAAAAAGTGTCATTCATTTTTTTAACAAAATGAAAAAATTTTCCCCGTAAATTTAAGGGTTTGTTGGGGGGAAATTTTATTTTTTAGCTCAAGCTTTTTTTTTTTAAAAAGAAAAAATTCCAAACAAAAATGGGGCTCTCATGGGGAAAGATTTTAAAAATTTAACGTTAAAATTGGGAAATTTCGTTTTTCCCTTTTTTTTTAAAAGCATAAAAAAAAAAAAAATTTGTTTGTTTTTTTGGTGTAAGTTTTGAAATTTTTTTTCATCCGTGAATTTTTAAAAACTTTTTCCACCGT